ACTTAAAAGAAGGTTTAACAGCTGTTCAATTCCAAACGATTAAGAGACTGTTTAAATAAAGCACAAAGAATAGGAGGAAGCATGCCAGGGAACAGAAAAATACTGAAGAGATTTGGAAGAGGTTTTAAGAGTAGAAAATAAGTGGTTTGTTGAAGAGGAAAGAGATGGCTTGAAGTAGAAGATTAAAAGATTGAGTGGTAACACTAAAGCCAGATCACAGTGAGTCAAAAACAAAAACAAAAACAAAAACAAAAACAAAAACAAACGCTAGTTCTATCATTTGCTAGTGTATATGATATTGAAATAGGTAGTAGTAATTTTAGATTACTAGTAGTAATCTACTAGTAATCAGTAGATTTTAGGATGTGCCAGAACTATTCAACTGCAATTGTAATGTAGCAGTATTGTTATATACATCATGCATGTCTTCATAGTTTTCTGATCTGTAACATCTGTCACATTTAAACAGAAATCATAGATTCATGAATTAATTTATCATTTCCTTAACCACAGTCTTACAAAAATTTATTCCATGCACTGTGAGTAATCTCCTACCCAGCTAAGTCAAAGTTTGCTTTGCCAGTGACTTCAGCTGTTACGTTACTTCAACTACTGAGTAGTCCTAAGGCCTTTGACATTTTAGAAGCAATAAAGATTGAAAGATAATATGAATGGTGGGTCAGGCTGGCTTACTGGAGTGTTGGCATTTGAGGATGGAACATGTTACCATATATCATCTTGGAGATTTCACATTAAAGAAATCAAAGGGTAGACAAGAATGTATTTAAGATTGCCTGGGAAAGCAAAAGAAAACAAATATGATAATATCACTACAGCCTTAAATAACATTATATGAGTGACACCAAAAGTCAGATATGTAGTATCATGGTGTAGTGGTTTCACACTGATGGGCAGCTAAGCTCCACCATACTGCTCTCTTGTTTTCACTCCTCAAAAGAACAGGGAGAGAAAATATGATGAAAGAAAGGCTCATGGATTGAGACCACCATACAGGGAGATGACTTGCCAATTACCATCATGGGCAAAAGAGACTCAGCATAGGAAGATAAATGTAATTTATTATCTATTGATAACACAACAAAAGTAAACTTAAAACACCTTCCCCCCCTCATCAATCCTCTTCTACTTCCTCCTTGCCCTAGGCAGCACAAGGGAACAAGGAATGGGGGCTGTGATCAGTCCCTGACACTTTGTCTCTGCCACTTCTTCATGGTCACTCTTTGCTCCTGCTCCACATGAGGTCCCTTCCACGGGATGCTGTCCTTCCCAAACTGAACCTGCAGGGGCTGCCCACAGGCAGCAGCTCTTCAAGAACTGCTCCAACATTGCTCCGGTACTACAGGGTCCATCTGTCAGGAATGGACTATTCCAGCATGGGTCCCCCACAGGCAGCAGCTTCCATCAGATCTCCTGCTCCACCGTGGGCTCCTCCTCAAAAAGCTACTGCTCTGTCCTGGAGTCTGCTCCTGTGAGGGATTTCCATGGGCTGCATCCTCTTTCAGGTCAGCTCCACCTGCTTCTTATGCTGATGTTCTTCAGTAGCACCGTTCTTGGAAATGTGAACATGTGTATTTCATATTTTTACATCAATGCTTTCCACTCAGGCGGCAATGTCTTGCCACAATACAGCAGCCCATTGGGTTTAACGCTTTGCTGCCAATTATTTCACTTCCACTGCTGTAGCCACCCCCACTGGGCATTTACCACCATCTATGTGTCAGTATAAAGATAGAACACTGGCCACTTTTATCTTTTGGCAGCTTTAAGGGCCAGCTGAATGGCTTTATTCTCTTCAAACTGCCTCTGAGCCAGACATAATGGGGTGATTTTGCCACTCATTCCTATTTAGGCTCACTTTGGCCTCGAATACTGACAGCTGTTGGGATCCCTTTGTCACCCTTAGAATCATAGACTCACAGGATGGTTTGGGTTGGAAAGGACCTTAAAGATCATCCAATTCCAACCCCCTGCCATGGGCAAGGACACCTTCCGCTAGACCAGGTTGCTAAAAAAAAAAAACATCCAATCTGGCCTTGAACACTTCCAGGGATGGGACATCCACAACTTCTCTGGGCAACATGTTCCAGTGCCTCACAACCCTCATGGTAAAAAATTTCTTCCTTATATCTAATTTAAATTTACCCCCTTTTAGTTTAAAGCCGTCACTCCCTGCCTTATCACTACACTCCCTGATAAAGAGCCTCTCTCCAGCTTTCATGTAGGCACCCTTAGGCCCTACTCTAGAAATACAGAGGGGTTCTGCCTCTTGGTAACTTGTTGACATTAGGGTACTCTGCGTGCAGGTTGTGAGAAACAATCTGTAGCCCATAACACAGGCTCAGGAGAGCATCTCAGTGAAGTAGCATTTTTATTCACAATTGTAATGGCAGGCATCCTGCAAGAAGGAGCACCCAGCAAAAGTATATCATAGCCTTATATTCTGTATTACCCAACAATTGATTCTCCCCGTTTCCTAATTGGCTGAGTACTACTTATTTTGGGACAATGGGACCTTCCCCTTATCTATTTAACATACTTCCCACTGTAATACCACTGTTATGCCTGCATAATCACTTTTGAATATACAAGTTTAGTGGAATTTTCCACTGCAAAAACACAAATTTATTTCTCACAATTTGTCCACTAGAGCCTTGTACTCCTGTGGGTCTGATGTGCCAGTCATCATACCCACACAGTCCAATAAATCTGGTTGTCCCTTTCTTCTGCCTATCCAGAGGCAGGGTCCCTCTAATCCTGACCATAGTCCTGACCGTCATTTAATTCTTTCAAATGTGAAACAGAAGTCCCTTCCTAAGGGTCAATAGTAAGATGAGCCCTTCTGCTCCTTCTGGAAAGCTTCCCAATAGAAACTGGAGCAGTAATTTTCCTAGAAGAACACTTTTTGGCTGCTATTTTTCCTTGCAGTTCACATACCCAAGCTTCTAGGCTCAAAGTGTGTTTGCCATTCCACTTCCTCATGTCCTCCTTATGGCCACTCAAATAAAACCACAGGGTGCAATGTGGTGTGCATCCACAGTATCCTTTCCCTTGAGCAGGAAAGCGCTGTCTCTGAGGTACCTCATAGCTGAGGTACTGGTCCATATAGGTGAGGAGGAAAATCTATGCTCTTCAAGCTGCTGAACCCGTTGGGACAGTTTCTCCACAACTGAGCTGCAGGCCCATAACAGAGAAAGGAGATATTCGTATTGAAAGAATTGGCTGACCACTACGTCCACTGTTGGTTCCTCTTCATCTTTCCAGTCCATTGCTGCCACTGGTCTGCTCTGTACAAACTTCCACCATGTAGACCACATGACTGGATCTTTGGATACCTGCTTGTCATCCATTTCACTATAAATCACCTCCAGCACAGCTATCTTACTCAGGCACTGGATATAGTTCTCCATGGTGGTACACTGGGCAACATATAACATCTCCCTCGAAGTGTTACCAGTCCTTCATGCCTAACAGGAGGTGCCTCCAGAGTCGGAGGACTGGTGTCCCTTTCTCAATCACTTTGTCAATGGTCACTTCCCTAGAGAGGGATCCCAGCTGCTTGGCTTCTCCATTCTCTACGTCCTGGCAACTGGCCCTGTTATTCCAGCATTGGAACAGCCAGGTGACAATGTGTTCACCTGGGTGATGGCTGAAATATTTTGCGTATCTGTCAACTCACTCTTCTCCTCCAGCTGCTGATGCACAGCATTTATTTATTTGTTTATTTAATCCTTTCTTAAATCTCACAGAGGTGCTAACAAAGTCACTTACTGGCTCAGATCTGGCCAGTGCTGGGTCCCTTTTGGAGCTGGCTCTGACATGGGGTAATTTCTGGGCTCTTCTTACAGAGGCCACTCCAGCAGTTCCCTTGTTACCAAAACCCTTCCACATAAGCCCAATAAACATGGATGGAATTGCTGAACTGTAGCATGCCTTGCAGCTTTTGAGAAGTAAAGGAATTACATATTTGCGTGATACAAAATTCTTAAAGGTATTTAGGTCTCAAAACATCCTCTAGCTGTGTTGTAAGAAGCAACACAGACCAAGATCTACATCAAGTCTTGGAAGTCAAGTAAGAAAAACTCCAAAGAAAGAAAGAGTTGTAAAAAATCTCTTAAAATGAATATGTTCTACTTGAACAGGTAGATTAAACTGAAAAAAAGAAACAATTCTTTTTTTCACCTGAAATAAATTCAAAGTGTAAGAGTCCCATTTCAAGCATAAACCATTCTGGATTAATTTGTGTTTTTCTGTGTGCTTGAAAAACTCTTGTTACTTTTACTAAAAGGCAGTGTTAATTTCCCCTGTATAGGGTATATAAATCTCATTACTTGTGCAATGTAGCGGTGAACTTGAAATCTTTGGTGAAGTAAAGCCTGGAAGATAATAACTGATTCAGTGAAATGAAGGAAATAGCTTATGTTGAAGTTAATGGGAGTTTTTTTCAATTAATGTTAACACAGTTACATCCTTACTGACTCTATCTAATCCCATTTAAGCCTAATAGTTGTGTTTGACAGTGGGAAAAAAGCATAGTTCTGGACAGGAGTACAGTAAGACAGAATGTGTACAGCATCATTTCTTATAGTGCTCTCCCAGACTCTAACCACGGATTAGGGTCTTTGACAGATATGGCTTCTATATGTTTTGTAATCTTTTTTGGATTTTTGTTTCACAAATTTATTCAGTCTTCTGTGTAAGCCATATACACTTTTAACATTTTCACAATCCTTCAGCAATTAATCCCTCAGGTCACAATGAGAAAATTCATCAGCTCTTGTTTTTCTTGAACCTGGTGCATACTGCCTTCATTCGATTGCTTTTACATCTCATACTTGAAAAAGATAGTGAACATTTAATCCATGTTTGTCCTCTTCTTGACACCCATAATTACACATATCGATATTACACCTACCGTTAGTCTTTCACATTTTTTCAAACTTTAAAAAAAAAAAAAAAAAAAAGATTTCAAACTTAACTTAGTCATTCAACTTTTGGAAGCTTTTCTGTAAGTTTAATTATTCTGTTGCCCTTCTCTGAACGTTTTTCAGTTCTGCTGACTATTTTTTGAGAGGAGGACACTAAAAATGCATGTTCAATCCTTTGTGCCACTCTGAAATGAAAGAAAAATATATATTTCCATTAGTATAAGTGAAGCAAATTCTTTTTGACAGAAAATGGACATATTAATTAGAGAAAATTAATCTTATCTTTCTGGAACCATGACTGCAAATTCTTTGCCTTTCCCCATCTTATAAAACAAGAGTAACAGAATACTTTTTTTTTTTTTTCCCTGGAACCAACTTGGCAGAGGTAGCTGAGACACATGGGAATGTAACTGGTCATGACTCATTTAAGCTTAGACAAGAAAAGAAGATTTATAAAATATCTGCTATTTTGTTTATGGAAGTCTATTTCAATGCTGGGAGCATAAATTTTATTCTTCTATTTGAAATACAGATCAAACGACTTTGTAAAATCTGAATCATTATCTTTTGGAAATGCTTGTTAATATCAGTAATTAGGCCTTTTAATTCCCATACATTTGTTAAAATTCTGCTTATTACTCACTGTAGCATATGGATCAAATGCAAATTGCATAAAAACTTCCATTATTCAGTTGAGCTTTTACTGTTTTTGCACTCTAATGACTCTCCACCCAGCTGATCTTGTAATTCTGAGTTTGTTAAAAACACATAACAGCCAGGCCTGTGAAACTGTAGAATTTAAGAGAATAGGAATTTACTGAGTCACTTAATACTGAAAATAAAAGCAGGGAGACTACCCACTGAGCCATTCAGAAACTGCAGTTCTTTTCTGTCTTTTATGCTCTAATTACATGTATCAAAAAGTTACATTCACTCATTGAAATGTAATTTCAGTACATGTGTTCCTCTTCAAGAAATCCAAGGAAAATAAATTGGAGATCATTTAATAAAAAGTTAACAGAATACCTCATTTGTCTTTCCAGTTGTCCATTGAGGGGAAAGGAGTCATCATTCAATCTCATTTTTGTCATGTCTACCTGAAAAATTAGAATTGATATTACAGTACTGTTGAGATGCATTCGTAGTCAAGTTCCTACTCAGTTGGCATTGACAGAAACATAACCCAGCCATGATCTAGAGAAATTTTGATTTTCATCAGGGAAATGTCTGAAGATTTTGTGCCTGTCTGAGTGTTGTCTATTCCCTAACACTGTGAGGTGTCGTCTGTGTTTGACAGCACAATATATGAACAGCCAAAGTACAGGGAAAGCTGAGTAGGCCAATGCCCCACAGAAAACCTGTGGCTGAGACGTTTCCAAATTGTGAGAAATACCACTGACCTTATAAATGTTTCACTGTCTACCTTCCACATCCTGCCTTATAATCCAGTTTTTAGCTACAGAAAATATAAAGGTAGTATGATTCTATCACATGCATCTATGACATAGCCTTAGGGATGATAATCTTGTAGTTCAGAAAATCCGTGAAGTCTATAACTCCAGTCACTGCTATATAATCTGAAAAAAAAGAAAAAAGAAAAAAAAAAAAAAGTTGACTGCACTTTTCATTTCCTGTTGTGTTGCAGAGTTCTTTTCTCAATGGCTGCATGGCAAAGCTTATTATGCTTCTGATGTGTTTTGATCTGGGATTCACTTGATTCCAGTAGCGCCCCACATCTTGATCTTTTTGACATAGATCATTCTGGTTGATAACATTTCTCCATGCAAAGCTTTGGAACATTTGCATTACTCTTTCAGAAAGAAAAAGGTTCAGTCTGCAACGGCTCAGTCCTGCTTTTGCTAAAAATCTTGACAGGGTTGCAGAACCATACAGATAAGGTTTAGTCATATTTGACTCAAGAAAAAATGGTGAAAATAAAAATGGAGACGTACAGCATCTTTGAGGTCCCTTGGTTTTCTCTGCTGGACAAGAGTAATTAAAAGTACTGTTTTATGTGACCAAAAATACTGTTATATGTGACCAACTTTGATTACTGTACCCAAAGGGATTACTCTTGCCCCATCCTAATGGATCGAAGGCTGCAGTTACATGTCCACATGTCCAACCCAACCCATGTATTCCCTAAAGATGCATGTGCAAACATATGCACAAAAAGAAGATATGGCCACACAGATCAACACAGGCAGAACATAACACCTCTACCAGTGCTTATAAACTATATTCACATAAAAGCAGGATTACTGCAGAATTTCTGGTCCTGTTCCTCATCTCGATGTGGTTCCCTGTGGTTGCTGACCTTAGGCACTCAATGTAGCCAGCAGCTGGCTCCAGATCCCATCTCTCCCTGATGTTGACACCTGCTCCTGAAGTTCATGGTTCCCCTCCAAGTGCTGCTACTCAGACTTCATAACTTCCTTGCCTGCTAGTGAGTCTGAAGTTTGCAAGTGTTAACTCACAACCACTCAGAGTAGACAGCACACCCATGCAGAAGGTGGTGAAGAATAGAATTTAATGAGAAGGTGAGGTAGACCACAGCAATCAAGTGCAGGCTTTAGTCAAACAAGTGTGCTGACCAGCAACCTGTCTGAACTTGACCAACCCTTCTTATCCCATTGTCTATTTTCACATATTTATTTCTTCCCAATCCACCGTAATCTCTCTCTTCCCCTCCTTTTGATCCTTCTTCTAAACACACCATAATAAATTTTGTACACGTCTCAACTCCTTGGAGCATTCTGCAATAAGTTTTACACAATCCTAACAATTTCTTCTCCCTGAATCTCACAAGAAGTTCTATGCCTTGTAGGTGATAAACTCCTCTTGTTTGCATGGGTTTATGGAGAGAGTTTTCTGCTTTGACTCTTCTGGATGAGTTTCACAGCAGCAGGTCAAATTGCTCCCCTTTGAGGGTTTTAGGAACCAGACAGGTTCAGATGGGTTATTGGGTTTCCTTCACTTGCTATGGTTCCTTTGGCTCTCATGGATCACTGTTTACTGCAATTAGCCTTAAATCAGATGATCTAACACTTAGTATCTTCTTGGTTAAACTCATGAATGAGCCAATATGTTGGTAGTTGTCCTAGAAGGTAAATTCACCTTTTTAATTCTCCCTATGAAAACTCTTCAGTTCTCACTGCAATTTGTACCATGTTTGATTAAAATCATCTCAATAAAAGTGTAAAATATGACAGCAAATCTTCATTTAGGAAAAGGCAAACTATATGAATGCAAAACAACAAACAAACACTCCCCCAAAAAGCAAGCAAACAAACAAACAAACAAAAAAAGTGCCTAGATTTTGTTCTTTTTACTTCAAGCTGATGCCATTGGTCTTCTGGCAGAATTGTTTATGCACATTGTAATCCTTTGCTTTCTTCACTGTGTCACAAAGCAAAAGGGCCAATAAAACGTAACTGGACCTGTCTCAAGAGCTTTGGGGTAGGCATATAATCACCTCTGTACTGTGTGTCAGCATAGATATGATATTCTTTTCTTTCAGTATACATAATAAGAGACAATATTGTGCTCTTCAGCTTCCTGGACCGAAGACAACAGGTGTGCTATCTAAAGGTCAGCTTCTTTATAGCTTAAGGTGATGTTAAACTCTCTCTGTGCAATTCATGCATTAAGGACTGGTATTTTATAAAATCTTGATTTACCTAGAAAAGTCTATTAGACTCCATATCTTTGCTTTCTCTTCCAGTGAATATAAGTTGCTTGAAGAGAATGTTGTTCCTTCATCGTTTAAAATGTCTGTGATCGTTCACCAAAATTCATAATTTCTACTGTGATAAGAGCTACACACTCCATTTAGGGCTCTGCTGAGCCCCAGACTAATCTAAGGCTTGGCCTATTAAACTCATGCTAATAGTTCAAAATCTTTACATTAGATCTTAGTGGCTCTACAATTAAAAGATCTCACTTCTGATTAACCAGTTTAATCCCTTCTCTCCCTGATGTCATTGTATTTATCTGCCATGATCCAAAACATACATTACTTACCCTGAAGAATGATATTTCCTAATGACATGATTATTGTCAACAATAACACATTATAAGACAGGAATTGGTCAGTGATTGGCTACATTGTTTTAGGCTTTTTCTTTTTGTTGTTCTGTTTTTGTTTTTTAGTTCTACAAAGATGAATAAAGAAATAGTCATCCAGAATTTTAATTGTGCGTAAAGTAAAAACTAAGCATATTTCCATTTGAAGGCTGCTTGGTATGAGAAGTTTTATACATACACTTTAGAGGTAATTATCAACAGAAATTATTATTTTGTATATAAGAATTAAGATAAATGTTCTAACCTGAGACTCAGAAATGAGTCAGAGAGAAGCAGGAGAAGAGAGAATGTCCTATGAGCCAGCTCAGATAGACCTCTGTGCTCCATCAGCATTGCTAGAAGCATAGCTAATGAAGGTACAAACCTCAAAGGCAGACATTGGAAATACATTCCCAAGCAAGGCATCTGGATCTTGCAGTTGCCAAGTGTGGTCTGTTTATACTTATCGTAAATGTTAACTAGAAGAGAAAAAGGAGGAAGAAGGCAGGACAAAACAGGAGTCATAGCAATAACAGAACACGGTAGTAAGTCATCCTACCTGAAATGGACTGCTTATGTTAAGAGAGATGAGGTCGTACTTCATTCTAATCATACAGCTATGCATTTACAAGCTGTAGGTAGCTAATAACTACTGCCTTGGGAAAAAAAGAAAAAAAAAAAAAAAGAAAGAAAGAAAAAAAGAAAAAAAAAAGATCATGTTTTAATAAGGGACATACAATTGCAGATGAGTATTGTTGAACTGCACATTTCACCTATCTGACTGTTAGAAGAAAAAGTACCTAAAGGAAAAGTCATGCTTTAGTTTTATCATAGTACGTTTAGTGTATAGTAGGAAAAATTAAGAACGAAGAGTTATATATCAAAAAATATTGTCAGTACTTCCTTCCAAACCAGAGACTGCACTAGACTTTTAGCAGTGAACAGAATAATAAACATTGTAGTATGTAGGTGGAACTACTTCTGCAGGGAAAAAAAAAAAAAAAAAAAAAAATCTTGAGAGCTTGTCATAGCTAATCTAATGAATTTTTTCCTAAATAATTTCTTAAGGAAAGTGCTGGCCCTTGTATTTGATAGCATCCAAATGATTTTAGAGAAGGGATTAGTTTTGTGTCAAGCTTCCTTTTGTTAACAATTGTAAAGTACTCTTGTAAACATTTGCAAAGTACTCTGAGATATACCAGAAAGAAAAACAACCTGTATATACATTATTTTCTAACTATCACGTAGACAGATGCAGGACAGATATTTGTGGTCTGATCTAGTATCAGTAGTATCAGTCAAGACTTAGTACTATTTTGATTGTTTTAATAAGAAAAAATTATTTTAATCTGATGAGATTTATTATTATTTTTTTCCCCAGAAGGTGTTTATTCACTACTATTTTTTTCAAATGACAATTCAGCTCAGTTTCCACAAAAATTTTGTATGACAGGGTTTAAAACTTGTTCTTTATAGACATTCCTGACTACATGGGCTAAGTTTACTTAATCAAGGAACAGAAACAGTGCTAACTGACCACAGGAAGTACATTTACAATAAGTATGCCTGCTACTCCATCTGTGTTGCTAAAGACAGATTTTTTTTTTAAAAACATTTTAAAAATACTCTTAGTTATGATGATTCTTCACCCTTTCCTTCACTGTACTTAGAATTAGTTTTCTGTTGATGTCACAGCTAATTGGAAATGAATAAATATAAAATAGAATAAAAGTGAAGAAAATTTTGAATGTTTTAAAAATGATATATTTAAAGTAATTGCTACCTGTACATATATATTTCAAAAGAAATCTGAGAGCAAATGGAGATTTAGAAATTTTCTACATTTTTCTCGTTGTGCAGGCATTCTCTAAAAGGAATTTTAGTAGATATTATTTTAAAAGTTTAAATATTTAAAATATTTCTTGGAAATTGGGTAAAAACAGCATTGATGAGCCAGTCCAGCAGCCTATGTGCAGTTTGGATGCATATACAAGTAGGCTCAGTGGCTTCATCCCAGATTCGTTCCAACTTGTGAATGTTGACTTTAGTTTGAGTTTTTAGCCATATCAATTTGCAATTTGTTCATTAAGTTAAATAAGGGCAGTATTAGACACTGTTCCCTTGACAGGAATGACAGTAATAGTTCTTCTGCATGCAGCACTTGTCCCGTGGTAAACCAGTTTCATAATCCTAATTCTGTGAGTCACTGGGCAATGTGACTCACCCAATCTCACTGATATCTTGAATTCCAGCCCAGTGCCTTGCTCACCAGGTAACTGAACACAAGTACAGCTATTCTGATGTCTTTTGTTCCACTTCTAGGAGACCCTTCTAAGCACATTATATAAGCATGATCAAATTTTCACTGATGCAAGAAGAGCTGTGACTATATATGAGTGCATATATATAGTCTGTAATATGGAGCTGCATACATGAGTTCTCTTTATTCACTGTTGCGAAATTTATGTCTTTTTGTATCTTTGAATGGAGGTGAAGGTGGTATGCAGCATTATTCTGGAAATAAAATATTTGCAATTCCTAAGCATGAGTTTAGGGTTTAACTAACACTAAGATAGCACAGTGAACTTTTAATGTCTTGGGGAAGGGAAAAAAAGAAAGTGTGATAAACTGATCTGTAAGCAAAAAATTCAATAATTTTACTGTTGTTGTTAGAGAGGTCAAAGTTAAATGCACTGACTACACACTTTATGCCTTTTAATCAGCTACATTGCTTCCATTTTAAATGCAATGGAAATTTTTGCATGTTCAGAAATAAATTCTCCTTTTTTTATCACCTGGCATTTATGCTCTGAAAATATCACACACTTTTCTTGAAGTCCAATTATGAAATACAGAAACCCAATCTTGAAATTATGGAATTAATTTCAAGATTATGGCTTAATTCTGGAATGCATTACCTCAGTTTGACCTAGATCTTTTGTTTTGTTTAGTTTTGTTTTGGTGATGAGTGTTTTCTTGTTGTTGGTGGTGGTGGTGGTGTGTTTTTTTTTTTTTTTTTTGGTTTGTTTGTTTGTATGTTTTTGCTTTTCAGGATACGGTGTTCAGGGAGTGATGTAAGTAAATATAGGTTAGCAAAATGATCTGGAATAATGGTTTCCTTAGAATTTTGCTTCATGTAAAGTGGTGTGACTTAAGGGAAGATGCAAAGGTTTTTATAATCCAAATGTTCTGTGTCATTTATATTAGTGTCCTGTGCATTCACAAATACTTGTAATGGCTGTGTAGGGCAAAGCCCATTAAATCCCACTGAGATTTAAGTAGATGCCTGTCGTGGTTTAACCCGGCCGGCAGCTAAACACCACGCAGCCGTTCGCTCACCCTCCCCCCTCCCTCTCTGGGACGGGGGAGAGAAATGGAAAGTGAAGCCCGTGAGTTGAGATAAAGACAGTTTAATAAGACAGGAAAATAATAATAACAAAAAATAATAATAACAATAATAATAATAATGATACAATGGTGATAATAGGAAAGTAATAATAATATGTACAAACAAGTGATGCACAATGCAATTGCTCACCACTCGCTGACTGATGCCCAGCCTAACCCCGAGCAGTCCGGCCCCCTCCCCCCAGCTAGCCACCCCTATATATTGTTTAGCATGACGTCAGATGGTATGGAATACCCCTTTGGCTAGTTTGGGTCACCTGTCCCGGGTCTGTCCCCTCCCAGCTCTTAGTGCACCCCCAGCCTGCCCGTTGGCAGGGCAGAGCAAAAGGCTGAGATGTCCTTGGCTTAGTATAAGCACTGCTCTGCAACAATTAAAGCATCGGGGTGTTATCAGCACTCTTCTCATCCTAAGCCAAAACACAGCATTCCACCAGCTACTAGGAAGAAAATTAATTCTAACTGAAACCAGGACAATGCCAAAGTGTTTTCTGAATCAAGGAGCTTCTATCTCTGCTTGGAGGATATTTTTTATTAAAAAAAAATAATAAAATAAATACATTTATCATTTGGGAAAATGGTGGGAAATACATTATGTCCCACATCTAAACTGAAATCCATCATAGTCCATCTGCATCCTGGTCCCACAGTTGCTGATTTCCCATGTGCAGGTTCAATCAGGCTGAGTGTGTATCCCAGAGGCACACACAACTGTACACAGAGGGCAATAACTGCTAGCCATGCCAACTGTCACAGACAGTGCACAGACTTCAACAGCACTCACACTTAATGCTACCAGAGCTCACATACACATTGTACAGGTAGTCCAGTCTTGTTCTTCCTTGACAGCTGATCAAGCTTGAAGTTCACTAGTGAGAACACACACCCCATCACTGCCCAGATTCTCAGGCACCCCCACAATCACCCCCACAAGCATGGGCTCTCAGGCGTGCTGTCCAGCCTTGTTTACACATGACCAGCTCCTTTGATTGTTCCCTCCTATTTTATTTTTCATGCTTGTTTCTCTCTGCTCAGCCATGACCCTCACCTTTTCCTCACTCTTTTCTCCTCCAGCCCATAATAAAAAAAAATCACATAGTACCATAAAATATCCCATAATAATGTTTTTCATGTTAGTCTTTTTCTTCTTATGAGTTACAAAGTTGGGGATAACCCTCTTCAGGGTTGACCCTCTTTGACTTTGTGCCTGAGTAATTTTTAATGGCCTATCAGTCAGTGGCTAATGAGTTCTGGTCTTTATTGTCACCTTTGTCACCTGCTTCTCTGTTTTGTTTGCCTGAATGTTTAATTTATCACTTCATGTGTTATTTCTTGTTTCTTTTATACTAAATAATCCCTAAAAGGATAAATTACTGAATCAGACACTCTCACATTCTTCATTTCCTTACAAAAGGCAGCATCCTGCTTATGAGAGGAACCAACATAGCTGGAGAAGTCCTGCCTTGTGTACTGCCAGTTTTGGGCTGAGCCAGTATATGGGCTCAGGAGAACAGCAAGGAAGGCTTTATTATTTATCATATTTTCCCAAGTAATATACAACATAAGTGGTAGAAGCTCTCTAGCTGTACATCTTGCAGTGACTGTACTTTGAAGTCATTACTGTCATGTTGCTTCAATATGCTATGATATTTGAATGTCAGTGCCATATGTCACAAAAAGTAATTTACTTTAAAAATAATTAAGAGAATAGGAAAAAAAAAAAAAGTACAGGTTTCTCTTTCAAAGCATCTAACTTGTGCCTGTTCTAATGTCAGTAATTAAAGTGTTCCAATAAATATATTAGGAGTTTCAAAATATTACAGGATCTTGCCTCCATTTCAGCTGCAATCTCTTGGTATTATAATAAATTAAGGAAAACATAGCAGTTTTTATTCAATATTTCTTGATTTGATTTTTCCTGTGATTAGTTCTTGATATGGAGTATAAAAATGTGTCATTCCTAATTAATTTTTAGAGTTAAATAATGTTTAACTATGATACTTTTAACAATAATTAGTAGAGAAAACCTTTGCCTTTCACTGACATTTTCCCTGTCAAAAGACTTCTGAATAGACTGAGACTATTTATTATCGCTACTTTGATATAGCTGATTTGCAATGTGAATTGTAACCCAGCCTCATGTATCCTTCAGGCAAGGAAAACCAAGGCACAAATGAAGTAAATTTTAACCAAGCAAAGCAAAACCACACAACCAAACAAAAAAATTCAGCCTTTGGAAGTAATCTTCATACCCAGACTGCCAGTAATACTGTGTGAACACAGTGCAAGCTGTTCAGCATTTTGCAGATAGTAAAACTCATCTGTAAATTAATTTGAGGTGTGTGGCACCTGAGTGCTCCATTGCCTGATGAGAAGTCTCTTGTACAGCAGTAAGGCAAGATTGCTTCTGATGAGGCACAGCTTCTGATAAGAGTGTGTTATCCCAAGCAACAGGGCTCTGTGCCTTGTGGGCAGAACTGCTTCATTATTCCCATCATAGGAATTTTAAGTTGCTCAAAAAACATGTAAATGTCTGTTATTTGAAGTTGCCATCATATTTGGCAGGGTTTGAGATCTGTTCCATTTTAGTCCTTTTACAGTACATGTTATGGGGTATTAGAGCTTCTGCCAGTGCAACCTTATAAGATTTGCATAGGACCTTTTCCAGGCAGTCTGATTGCATATCTTGCCCAAATGGAAGAATAGTGAAAACAAATATATATATATATATACATATATATATATATATAAATTATGGCATTCTGTTACCTCAATACGAGGCTTAGTATGGTTGAAGCTTATTCTCTTATCCACCTCTGTAGACAAGACACAAAACACCAAAACATCATATTAACTGTAGAGGTCAAGATGCCCAGAGAGGAAGACATACACAATTCTTCTGCACAAATCAGCCCAGAAAGTGGAAAAGTAGTGTGACACAAGTTGTGTCTGGCCCAAGGGAGGAAACTGGGTCCTCAGCTCTGTCTTTATCCTTCTGTTCCCATCCTTGTATAACAGGACACAGGAGAAGGTTGCAAATGGGTTGATTCAAGCTCTTTAGAACATATGAGTGGGATAGTCCACCAACAGCAAAATCCCCTCAAAACTAGAGGGCATCCTCCCTGTAGTCCTCAGTAAGACAGAGGCTACTGGGTCTCATGGCAGTGTGGCACATCACCTCTGAAAGCATTTTGCTGTGAGCAACAAAGGACCGTTGACAGATCTTCACAGACAGCAGGAATGGTGGCAGGCCAGCATAGTTAAGCACTGTGAGGATCATCAAACAGCTGAATAAGGCTTTAACTTACATTTTTGGTTCTATGGAGATTCTTTAATGATACTTCTATTGTGCCTGTTATGATGTATCCTAGGCTCTTGCAAATTCTGTCTCCTTCATGCAGGTCTCTACCTGTGCAAAATATCTACCTCAGGAAATGCATCAGCATTCTGGATTTATTTCAAGCAGTTAAACATGGGCACATGGGACCTCTTCTATTTTTTTTTTCCCCTCACATTTCTAATTCCATTAAGGTGTAATGGACCTTACCTTAGGGTGCTTTATGCAGATCACCTGAATTTTTTATGGATTCCATTTACATATTTTATATAAAGAACCCTGAATCTCAATGTGTAGTCCCTCCTAAGCAAGCATGCACACACAAATCAGAGGGTTTTATTAGCTAACTTTCATTTATAATGGAATATTTCTACAGAAATATGTACTCAGACTACATTCCTGTTATATGATAGAAATTTCTTTTAATATGATTTGGTGTCCATGTGAATTAATAGATTCTATATATAGTAGGCCAAGGGAAACCAGTTGATGTAATCTTTCTGGATTTCAGCAAACCTTTTGCTACTGTTTCTCACAGTATCCTTCTGGACAGAAAACCCAGCATACACCCAGAAAAATACAATACAATGACTGAACAATTGGCTGACAGGTCAGGCTCAAAGGGTTATAGCAACAGTGGTTACATCAGGCTGGTGGCCAGTCAGTAGTGGGGCTCCCTGGGGCTCAAATTTAAGGCCAGTTCTCTTTAATGTTTTTATAAATGTTACTGGCGCAGGATTCAAATGCATACTGTGTTTGCAAAAGGTACTAAATTAGTAGGAGCTGTTGACTCTTTTAGTGGTAGAGAGGCCTTGCAGAGAGATTGTGACAAATTAGAGGGCTGGGCAATCACTGACCACATGGACTTTAACAAGAGCAAGTGCCAGATTCTGCACCTAGGAAGGGGCAGCCCTGGATATATTCACAGACTTGGAGATGAGAGTCTGGAGAGCAGCCCTGCAGAAAAGGATCTGGGGATTCTGGTTGATGACAAGCTGAACACGAGCCAGCAGCATGCCTTGGCAGCCAGGAGGACCAACCGTACCCTGGGGTGCACCAGGCCCAGCACTGCCAGCCGGGAGAGGGAAGGGATTGTCCTACTCTGCTCTGTGCTGTGCGGCCTCACCTCCAGCACTGCGTGCAGCTCTGGGTGCCATGGTGTAAGGAGGGCATAAACCTATTAGAGAGTGTCCAGAGGAGGGCTATGAAGATAGTGAAGGGTCTGAAGGGCAAGTATGAGGAGGGGCTGGTTTGTTCAGCCCAGAGCAGAGCAGGCTGAGGGGAGGCCTCATGGCAGCCTGCAGCTCCCTCACAAGGGGAGCGGAGGGGCAGGCGCTGAGCTCTGCTCTCTGGAGACAGCGACAGGACCCGAGGGAACGGCATGGAGCTGGGACAGGGGAGGGTCAGGCTGGGGGTTAGGAGAAGGTTTTTCACCGAGAGAGGGGTCGGGCACTGGGACAGGCTGCCCAGGGCAGTGTTCACAACACTGAGCCCACTGGAGTTCAAGAAACATATGGGCAATGTTATCGGACATATGATCTGATTTTTGGGTGGTCCTGTGTGGAGCCAGGATCCCCATGGTCATTGTGGGTCCTTTCCTACTTGGAATAGTTTATAATTCTAGGATTCTAAGATTCTATGGTTCAATGATTTTCTTAAATAAATCACATAAAGTGCTACATATACCATACATTTAACCTTACATTTTGATCCAAAAGTCTGTTTAATGTTACAGAGATTTGGACCTATTTCAGTCTTTTATAAGATAATTGCAATTGATTTTTGTCTTTAAATCTGTACTCTATAATAAAAATATCTACACTTTTAATAGGAAA